CCCATTCAGAGCTACGTGTGTATGTGTGGAAAAATAAACAGAACTGAAATTTGCCCTTCTGAACCATTTTTAGGTATACAGTTCAGGGACTCAAAGTGCATTCACCTTGCTGCACAGCCATCCCCACCATCCAGAACTTGTTCATCTTCCTGAGCTGAAACTCTGTCCCCATGAAACCCTGCCCCCCCCCCCCCCGCAGCCACCATCCTCCTTTCTGTCTCTGTGAAGTTGAAGTTGACTGCTCTCGCGACCTCATATGGGTGGAATCATACGGTATCTGTCCTTTTGTGGCTGGCTTCTTCCACTTAGCATAATGTCCCCAAGGTTCTTATTTCATTTAGCATAATGTCCTCAAGGTTCATCCTTGTAGCATGCGTCAGAATTTCTCCTGTTTTAATTTTTATTTTGTTTTAGTTTATCGTGGTGAGAACAGTTATAATGAGATCTACTCTCGTAACAAATGTTGAAGTACAATAGGTTATTGTTGACTCTGGGAGCAGCGTTGTACAGCAGATCTCTAGAGCTTATCTTGCTTAACTGAAACTGTGTGCCCCTTGATTAGCAACTCCCCACTTCCCCCTCCCCAAGCCCCTGGCCACCACCATTGTACATTCTTGTACAGACAGGTGGTATCTGTCCACAGACTAAAGTGATGAGCTTGCAGTAGCCACATTTTAGCTTCCCGCACTGACTCCGTGGAAGGCAGCAGGCAGGGCCCTGACTACCCCAACACACTCCTCTGAATTGCTCTGCATTTCCCCTTTACAAAGAGGCTGCTCTCCCACGTTTTCGAAGAACGGGACACTCGTCTCTCTCCATCTGGTTTGAAATGGACAGACACTCTTTGATTCTATGAATTTGACTATTTTCAATACTTCATATAAAGTGGAATCGTGCAGTATTTGTCTTTGCATGACTGGCTTCTTCCACTTAGCATAATGTCCTCAGGGTTCACCCATGTTGTAGTATATTGCAGAATTCCCCTCTTTTTTGAGGCTGAATAGTATTCCATTGTATCTAGATACTACATTTACTTTTTTTGTTTACTTTTTATTATTTTATTGGGGTCACATTGGTTTATAACATTATGTAAATTTCAGGTGTACATCATTATATTTCAGCTTCTCTATAGACTGCATTGTGTTCACCACCAAAAGTCCAGTTTCCGTTTGTCTCTGTACATATGTGCCCCTTTACCCCTTTCATCCTTCCCCGACCCCCTCCCCCTCTGGTAACCAGCAATCTGTTCTCCATATCTCTGTGTGTGTTTATCCTCCACATATGAGTGAGCACATACAGTATTGGCTTTCTCCATCTGACTTATTTCACTTAGCATAATACCCTCAAGGTCCATCTATGTTGTCACAAGTTGCATGATTTCGTCTTTTTTATGGCTAGGTAGTATTTCATTATATATATATATATACACACCACATCTTCTTTATCCATTTATCTGTCGATAGATACTTGGGTTGCTTCCACTTTTTGGCTACTGTGAATAATGCTGCTGTGAACATGGGTGTACAAATATCTGTTCAAATCTCTGCTTTGAATTTTTGGTGGTATTGTTTGGGGGAATTGTTTGATCCTATGATAATTCTATATTTAAATTTTCGAGAGGCCACCATTCTGTTTCCCACAGCGGCTGCACCATTTTAAATTCCCACCAGCAGTACACAAGGGTTCCAGTTGCTCCACATCCTTGTCAACGCTTGTTATTTTCTGTTTTCTGGGTTTTTTTGATAATAGGCATCCTAATGGGTATGAAGTGATATCTTATTGTGGTTTTGATTTGCATTTCCCTAATGGGTAGTGATCTTTTCCTGTGCTCATTGACCATGTGTAAAGTACATCTTTTTTGGAGAAATGTCTATTGAGTCAGGGCTCTTCTTGATGTTCGTTTTACCCCTGTCATGTAGTACATGGGGGATTTCGGTTGGGGGTGCCAGTGGGATCTGACTCATTCCCTAGAGATGGCTAAAGTATCACTAAAGTTCTTATCTAGATCATAGTATTTACAAACTTTAGTATAACGTGTGTATAACTTGAGATAAAGCAGATTTGATTTTCTTCTTAGAAGAGGCTGCTTAGCTGAGGATTGCCTGAGCATTGAATGGTATGGATCCACGGGGGCAGGATGGGTTTCCCCTTTCACCTCCTGGATCCTTCCCTAGAGACTGGGGGGTAGGGGCCTGGAGCAGGCTTTAAGGCTTCTTCCTTTTCTACTAGTACAGGGTGCCTATGGAAGTGGCAGCTGTACTATTTGGAGTTCAGGAGTGCAAAGAATACTTGTGTTGATTTCCCATATAGCCGCTGTAACAAATGACCACAAACTCGGTGGCTAAAAACAACACAAATTTATCCTCTCACAGTTCTGGAGACCAGAAGTCTGAAGTCAAGGTGTCCTTGGCTTGTGGTTGCATCACTCCAAATGCTGTCTGCCCTCTCGTTTCGTCATGATTCCCTGAGTATCTGGGGAAATTGAGAAGCCAGCAGTGGGTATTCATGAGTGTGGCCCTCAGTGAGGCTCCTGCATCGGAGACAGGTGTGTGTGTGTATGTGTGTGTGTATGTGGCACAGAGCAGAAGGGAGTCTGCCTGGGCATGTGCAGGCAGCATATACTCAGGAGGCCAGTGGGTATGTGGGTGCCCACTTTGTGCCAGGCACCACACTTCATGCCAAGAAACAGTGGTGAGCAAGGCAGACGGAACTCCTATCACACACTGTGTGCTGAGCCTTGGTGCAAGTGCCCAAGTTCTCCTCCCCGAGCTGGTACACGCTGAGCCCAATGAGTCAGAGCTCACCAGCCACCTCTGTTTAGGGTGAACAGATGACAGGGCCGCTGCCAACATAGAGAGGATTATGGGATAGAGAGAGAGGGACGGGATAGGCATAGAACTACAAGTCAACTTTACTTATTCGTTATATGCATTCGGAAAAGGTCCATGAAAAGAAGTTCTGAAATATATTTCCTGATAGCTTCCATTATGATTTCAGAAATAAGCTTCCCCAAAATTACCCCATCAGACATTGAGGATGTCTTTTTCAAGGCCATTTCAGCTACCCACAAAATTGGTTCCTACAAGGACACGTGACTCTGTGTGTGTCTGTGTGTGTGTGTGTAACTCAAGGTGTGGAATTGGATTGGAGTTATCTCAGTGTTAGAAACCCCAGTGCTACCTGCCTGCCACCTCCTCACTGAAGAGTGTTGTCTGAATCTAGGCTTTTGCAAGCAGTTACACTGTTTTCTTTGCCGTGGATTTCACTGTCTCCAGATGTCAGGGGATCCTTGACTTAAGTAAATTGAGCACTACCAAGAAAACAGGTGGAAGACCAAATACATCGTAACCCAAAATTGAATGGCTTCTCTTTGTTTGCAGTTCAGTATCATGGCTGAATGAAGAGAGCATTGCATCCTAAGGGCTGTCACTAAAACTTCTCTTTAAACTACTTTTCTGTTTGGTGTCGTAGGACTTTGTCAGCTGGTGTGCTTCGTGACTGTCTCCTGGTTGTGAACCGCTCAGTCCCCACCACACTCTGACCACTTCCCGAGGGTTTCTGATGACCCCAGACATTCAGAATTCTTCCGCCCGTGGTCAGGGTGGCTTTAATTTTACCGAGGAGAGCTCTGTCTCCTCTTACACTCCCCCCTCCCCGCCAGCATCCTGTGCCCTGTCACAAGAAGATGAGCACTGAGTCCATTTTACTGATGGGGAAATTGAGCTGCAGCAGAGAGACAGACTTGATCAGATTTACACAGTTTGTGATAGGGCTAGGGCTGGAACTCAGGACCCCCTAGGTCTGTGCCTTTTCCCTCTGCGCTGCCACAGTCTAATGATCAACACAAGAGAAACAGAATAATCGAAGCATGTGAGTGCCGTGGGAAAAACTGCAGTGCCAGAGGTGTTCTTTTTGTTGTAACTGATGAATGAGGTTATTTAACTGGCTCTCCATTCCGCCTCTAATGCAAGTATATGGTGAGCTATGGGCCCGGTTATGCCCTTCTCTGAGGGAGTAGCCTGCACCACAAGAACGCTAGCTGAGTGCTTCGTCTAAGCCACAGACAGAGTTCAGCTGGTTGTGAAAATTCAGTGGGGAGGGGGCATCCACACAAAATGCTAACAGCTAAAAGATGTTTTGATTTATACAACATAAGTATCTGTCTCTAAATCTGTCTTTAAAAAGAGAAAAGTAGACCACAAACGGGACCATATTTGGAGCTAAAATGGAACAAGCAGCTGATGAGCCAATGAACAACCCGATCACACAGACACATCTGACAGAAAACATTCCAAAAGTGAGTACTGACACCGAAAAGGTCAGCCAAAACCAGGTAAGGGGAAAGTCGAGCACATGCATACTAGTAAGCCATTGATACTTAGCTGTGGGTTAAAAATTGTATTTGGTACATTTATTAATCAATGTCAAATACTGTTTTTTCTATATCAGATATATATCTTTATTTAAGGTATCAGTTACTTATTGCTGTGTAACAGACAGTGTCAGGATGTAGTGATTTAAAACAATGCTCATTTCTTTGTTCACAGTTCTGCAGTTTGGGCTGGGCCTTGGCTGGTCCCCCCGGGCTCATTCAGGCAGCTGCAGTCATGGGAACTCCCTGAGGTGTATGTGCTGGGTGGCCTGACTCACTCACCTGCTGTAACTGCTGGTTGGCAGCTCAGTGCCTCAGTTTGCCTTCACGTGGCCTCCAGTAGGCTAGACCAAGCTTGAAGGCAGAATGGCAAAAGCCTTCCCCAGGGGCATCAAGGGCAGTAACAAGGCCTCCTAAGGTCTACCATTGCAAGTGTCAGAAGGGACTTTAAGGAATTGTCAGGTCTCCTGGAGATTCTTCACATAGATCTGCAAAGGTTTGGTTCAATTCACTTTTTTTTTTTTGCTGGGAAAGATTCGCCCTGAGCTAACGTCTGTTGCCAATCGTCCTCTTTTTCTCCCCTCCCCAAAGCCCCAGTATGTAGTTGTATATTATAGCTGTAAGTCCTTCTAGTTCTGTGACCTACCGCCACCACATGTCTACTGACAGACAAGTGGTGTGGTTCTGCACCTGGGAACTGAAATCGGACTGCCAAAGCAGAGTGCACCAAATTTTAACCACTAGGCCATCAGGGCTGGCTCTGATTCACTTTTTTTTTTTTTTTTTTTTTTGGTAATGAAGATTCTCCCTGAGCTAACATCCATTGCCAATCCTCCCTTTTTTTTTCTTTTTGCTTGGGGAAGATTAGCCCTGAGCTAACATCTGTGCCAGCCTTCCTCTATTTTTCGTATGTGGGATGCTCCACAGCGTGGCTCATGAGTGGAGTAGGTCCATGCCCAGGATCTGAACCCTTGCCCTCAAAGTGGAGCATGTGGAACTTTAACCACTTGGCCATGAGGCTGCCCCCTGATTCACTTAGTAAATGCTAATTCTCCAGAAATTTAATCATGCCAAGATAAAATGTATTTATATCAAAACCTACAGGAGGTTCCTGTGGGCCACTAGGTCACCGTGGTTTCGGTGGAGAGTAAAGCATCCTCTGTGCCTCTGCGGGTGAGGGTTCATCTGAGATTCTAGTGTTCAGACAAACTAGGAGAGCCCCTTGTCATCTGTAGTTCCTTATTCATATAAATTAGGATTTTACTGATACTTAGCAACCAAAAAAAAGCTAAATTCCAGTGGTTGTATCAATAGTGGTTCTTTCTCATTGATTGACTTTATAGGAAGTAAAAGTTATAAATTTAAACTACTAAAATAAAAAGAGTGCTTGCATCTTAACTTATATATACATTCTGTGTAAGACTTCTCTGAAAAAGGACCCCACTGCTAAAGACAGAAGAAAACGGGAAAGGTTGGAAGAACCTCAGTGGCCTAGACCAATTTCTTATCTCAAGATCATATTACAATTAAAATAGTCTGTCTAGATGGCTTTCTTTCCTATTCTTAAAACTCTCTCCAGGATGTTGATCTTTTATAGCTCCCCTCAGTAACCCATCCTTAAATCTCATTCCCTGTTCCCAGTCTGGAGTTTCATTCTTACTTGTCGGCATGTGTTCCTTCTTGTCCACTGTGCCCACTTCCCCTGCATCATCCTTAATGGCCATGAAAAGTAAGTGGTTATTTCCCATGATCTCCTCTAACTGCATAGCATTATGGGTGTGATTCAAGACATTGTCCCATCACACATCTAACTTCTCTGGAGCAAATGATGATTCCATTCTCATCGTTACAAAACTCTCTGCGGAATAGCCATCGGCCCACTCATTCCAAGAAATATTGGTGCAACATTTCAAAATAAGAAAATAATCCACATCACTCTGTCAGAGAGAATACAGATTGCTCACATTTAAAATCATGAAATGAAATTGCACTGGACATAATAGCAAGGTTATTTGATTTTTCTAAAAATTAGACTCTGCCTTTTGAAACAGCTGTAACTAGAGGTGCCAGATAATATAAACAAGAGAATCTGAAATCCTTTGGGATGCTATCAAAACATGTCTAATTCCGACCCTCTCTGGGCTCAGGCAAACTTTTAGTAAGCCAAGACAAATCAGGTTGCAGAGCAGGGAAGCTTGGAGTTATTCTCAAAAACCGCATGCGGGGCTGGCCCATTGGCATAGTGGTTAAGTTTGCGCACTCCACTTTGGTGGCCTGGGGTTCATGGGTTCAGATCCCAAGCGTGGACCTACATACCGCTCATCAAGCCATGCTGTGGCGGTGTCCCACATACGAAATAGAGGAGGATTGGCACAGATGTTAGCTCAGACAATCTTCCTCACCAAAAAAAAAAAAACAAACACAACACATATGCCTGGACCACTGACTTGGGACAAGGGCAGGAGGGGGGATTGCTGAGAAGGGGATCAAATGGGATTTGGGCATTTTAAGTTGTCTGGGTCCTGGGGAAATCTTAGGAGTTTCAGTCAAGGTGTGAATGATTTAGCTTGGTCTGATGATGTGTATGTGGGAACAAGCAAAACAAAGCGTGGACGAGAAGGGATTGAGAAGATCATTTGAGGGGGTAGAATAGTGAAGCCAGTTAGTTCAGTAGCTTACACATGCCTGAACAAATGATGCTACAGCTGCAGTCCCAGACTCCAGTAAAAATGCCTTTCCAGGTGGGACACCAGGTTGGGAAGGGCAGATCTGTAGAAGGGGCCCTGGCACCCCTTGGGTCTCCTGTGTATCTTAATTGTAGAGGTATTTAAGGAATAAGTAGGGGATTGGTTGGTTGGGTTTTTTGTTTTTGTTTTTGTTTTTTTTTTTAAAGATTTTATTTTTTTCCTTTTTCTCCCCAAAGCCCCCAGGTACATAGTTGCATATTCTTAGTTGTGAGTCCTTCTAGTTGTGGCATGTGGGACGCTGCCTCAGCGTGGTCTGATGAGCAGTGCCATGTCCGCGCCCAGGATTCAAACTGACGAAACACTGGGCCGCCTGCAGCGGAGCACGCGAACTTAACCACTCGGCCACGGGGCCAGCCCCAGTTGGTTGGGTTTTTAATCAGGAACAGAATTTCTTTAACTTAGTTTCTGCTCCCCAACTTTGGTTTATTATTCATGAGCTTAGGAAAAATGGGGGTTTGTCATCTTAAGGAAGCCCAGGTGTGGTTTTAGAAAGACCTCAGGGAGGAAGGATATCACAGGTCCTCTTTTAGGGCCACTTGAAGCCAGCTTATTCAGCATGCAGCAGCCAGAAGCTTGCATTGACTCCCTGGAGTCCGACTATTTAAGTGCCTGCGTGTGGTGCTCTGTCCTTCCATTAGCCCCAGTGACCAGAGTTGGAATTTAGCCAAGAAAGTATACATGTTACAGAGGCTGGAATGGAAATACCACAGCACTCCCCTGATTTGTCAACTTGCTCAGAGCTCGAAGTAGGGAAAGCAAAGCCCTGGGTCAGCTGTATAACAGCTCACCGGTCCTCACTGCAACCTCACCAGGAGACCCCATCAGATGGCAACATGGTCTTAGGTGAATATACTAAGGTGACAAGCCCAAAGCCACACAGTCCAGGCCTGTAGTGGTCGGGGAGGAAAAGGCACTGACTTTCTCCTGCGAGTGTGGAGACTGCTTGCTTCTTTCTGATGTTTTAAGTGCACACTGTCAGTTGAGTGAGTGGCGTGTTTTGTTTTGGTTTGGGAGCAAGAAGGTATCACTTTTGGGTCTTTTGTTTGTTTTTAGATGGTCCAGTTTTGATTGTAGGCAGTTTAATTTCTTTTAGAGATGTCTCCTTTTCCTTTCACTAAACACACAGCATGCATTGGGTCATTCGGTCCAGCCAAAGTCTATCTCAGTATCATTTGCTATCTCTCTTCCCTTCCTACGGATCCCAGGAGAGGAGGCAATAGGACACCAGAATTAGGTAAAGCTTCCAAGTTGGCTCAAGAAGAGTTTCAAATAGACAGAGATGGACCTGCCATTACTGTGGCTCATGACGTGTGAGTCCAGGCTTTTTATAGCTTCTACTTCTCACCACCCTCGTCACCCTGCCATCCCTCTCTTTCCACAGGCCAAGAAATGTACCGTGATCGGGGGTTCTGGGTTCCTAGGACAGCACATGGTGGAGCAGTTGCTTGCAAGAGGCTATGCTGTCAATGTATTCGATATGCGGCAAGGGTTCGACAATCCCCGGGTACAGTTCTTTCTGGGCGACCTCTGCAGCCAACAGGTAAAGACCACCCAGCCTTGCCAATTTCCCACAGGCCCCTGAAGGGAAACCACCAGCCTTCCCCTGCCCAGAGGCCAGCCAAATTGTTGTTTCAAAATTTTTTTTTTTACTTTGAAAACTTTTGAAGTTATAGGAAAGAACTTAACATACACCCACATTCTTACTCCTCAGAATAAATAACTGTCATCTCCGTCACTGCTACTCTACTCTGCTGTGCTAGTGTGAAAGCAGCCATGGTCAGTAGGTAAACGAATGGGCATGGCTGTACCAATACAACTTTATTTACAAACAAAGTTGTCCACCAGCTGTAGCGTGCCGACTGCTGCTCCAGAGTCTGTATCCAAAAGTGCAATTGCTGGGTTTCACTTTTTGTAATTGAGATATAATTCACATTTCATAGGTTTCACGTTTTTTAAAGTGCACAATTCAGCAGTTGTTAGTACAGTCAAAAAGTTGTACACTGTCACTACTATCTAATTCCAGAACATTTTCATCACCCAAAAGGAAACCCCAGGCCCATTAGCAGTTGCTCTCCCTTTCTTCTCCTACCCTCCCAGCCCTTGGCAACCACTCACCTCCTCTCTCTGTGGATGTGCCTCTCCTGGACATTTTCTGTACGTGGAATCATACAATAGTTGTCCTTTTGTGACTGGTTTCTTTCACTTAACATAATGTTTTCAAGCTTTACTCATGTCATAAGGGTCTTAATATTTTGCATTTTATTAGATGTTGCCAAATTGCTTGACAAAGCTGCTATGTCAATTTTCCATTCACTCTGGCAGCAGGACAGGATCCCCATTGCTCCACGTCTTTGCTAACACTTGGTGTAGTCAGACTTTTTGGTGTTGCCATTCTGAAGGGTATGAAATGGTACCTGGGCGAGGCTTAGAGTCATGTGCCCTTGTCGATCCTCCTCTGTGAAATGCCTGCCGGTGACCTTTGCCCATTTGTCTCTGGGCCACCCTCTCCTTACAGATCTGTAACTCCTTTCTATTTGATATGCCAATCCCTTGCGTGTTGTACGTGTTGCAGGTGGCTTCCCTCAGCTTCTCCCTGGGCTCTTATTCTTGGCTTTGGTGTTACTTGCCGTAGATTTTTTTATTTGAATTTTAAAGATATGGCTTCCCTTGCATCCCTCTCAAAATCCAGGCTGTTTTCTCTCCACACCTCTGGGCCTGGAGATGTGGTGGAAGTCTTCCTTGTTCGTCTTTGCCACTTCCCTCTGCCCTAAGCTCCCCACAACTTTGAAGACGATACCAGCAGACTGTACGTACCTCAGTACCCTTCCTTGTGGCAGTCATCCACAGCCACCCACTCCCTTTCCCAGGTGACTTCATCTCATTTCTTAGTGATTTTAGCTCCTGCCTAAGGTCAGCCTGGTCATAATTGTTGGTGAGTTCAGTATTCACACAGATGACCCTACTGATACCCTTACCATGGCTTCCTCTCACCTACCCATCTTGGCCTCCACTTCTATTGTCATTCCCTAGACCTGGACCTTGTCATTACCTGCAAATGTGTCCTCTCCATGTTCTCATGTGCAAGCGCTCTGCTCTGAGCATCACTTCCTATCTTTCCAGTTCATGCCCTCTAAGATCTCCACACCCACATAGCCAGCCGTTCCCCACTACCCTCACCTCAGGCGTGTCCTCACTGCGTTGACTCCATGGCCTGCTTGTTCTCCTGCATAACCCTCAGCCCTCTTGGCCCTTTCTTCTCGTTGTATGTATCAGTCAGGATTCTCCAGAAGAACAACCAGTAGGGGTGTGTGGGGGGTGTGTGTGTGTACAGGGAGAGGAAGAGGGAGAGAAAGAGAGAGAATGAGATTTAATTCAAGGACTTGGCTCACGTGATTATGGGGCTGGCGAGTCTGAAATTTACAGGACGGACTGGAAACTCAGGCAGGAGCTGATGCTGCAGTCCTGAGGCAGAATTTCTTCTTACAGAAACCTCAGTTTTCGCTCTTAAGGTCTTCCAACTGATTGGATGTAGCCACCCAAATTATCCAGGATAATCTCCTTTACTTAAAGTCAAGTGATTGTAAATGTTAACCACAGCTGCAAAATGTCTTCAGAGCAACCCCTAGAGTGGCATCTGCTGGAATAACAGAATTGGAACCCAGCCAAGTAGATACATAAACCTCCCCATCGTGTTGTACTTCCTGGGTATAACCTCAGCCCTGGTTAGATCCAATTCTACCTCCTCCCTGGGCAGCTGAACAGGGCTGGAAGAGAAAATACGCACTCGTTGCCTCTTTCTTCGTGGCACGGCCTTCGAGTGGCCCCGTAGTGCCTCCCAGCCCTGTATCCACAGACCTATCTGGGTCCACGCCCTGCCGATGCCTTATCCCTGCAAATGCTCCAGGCACTAGCTAGAGCCCCTCCCTTCTTCCCTGTTCAACACTTCCAGTAGGGACTCTGACCCCTTCTCTTCCACATCAGCGGTTTATCCTTCTCTACCAGATCACAGCCATCGACACACAGATGTGTTGCAGTATCACCCATCTCAAGAAGCCAGAATGCCCTGATGCGAGATCCCACTCCAGCTGCTGCCCCACTTCTCTCTCCCCCTTATAGCAGAGATCAAAGAGCCATTTGTGCTCACCACCTCGGGTTGCTTCCTTCCATTGTCTCATAGAAACACTCCAGCTAGGTCTTCACCAAACAGCTCCTGTCACAGCCACCAGGGACAAAGGGGACCAGATCCAGTGGCCAAGCCTCAGTTCTCATCTGACTGGACCTTCAGCAGCGTCTTACAGTTTCTTCACTTGCCATCTAGGACACCCCACTGGCTTCATTTCTCCTGCCTCACCGATTGCCCCTTCTCAGTCTCCTAATCTCTATAATTTCTAAACTTGGCAGGATCCAGGGCTTCTTCTTGGATCTCTTTTCTTCTCCAAGCACACTCCTTGTCATGGTGAATCTACCCCGGCTCACAGATTAAATACAATTTAGGAGCTGACAAGCTCCCAGCTTGCAATCTCCAGCCCGTAGCTCTCCTGGCCCTGTATCTATCCAGCTGCCTGCTGGACGTCTCTATTTGGATACCTAATAGACATTTCAAACTTGCCACATCCAAAATTCAGCTCCTGGTTCCCTGCCCCCTAGCCTCTGACAGCAAACCTACTCCTACTAAAGTCTTCTCCATCTCCATAAATGGCCCACCCCATCTTTCTGATTACTTTGGCCTTAGATTCAACCTTGATTCTTTCCTCTCTCGTACCCTCCATCCCATCCATCAGCAAACTTGTTGACTTCACTCTCAGAATAGATCCCCAAACCAGCAACTTCTTACCCCTTCCATTGTTACCACCCTGGTTGAAGCAATCACCCTGTAACACGTAAATCAGATCACAGTGCTCCTCTGTTCAGAAGCCTCCAATGGTGTCTAGTCCTGTTTAGGGGAAACGTAAGGCCATACAGTCACCCACGAGGCACTGCATGGTCTGCCCGCACTACCTCTCTGGCCTCAGCCTGTCCCACACTCCCCGTCATTGCTCTGCTCCAGGCGCGCAGGCCTCCTTACTGCTCCTCAAACTCACCAACCAAGTTTCTGCCTCAAGACCTTTGCACTCACTGCTCTTTCTGGCAGGAATCCTCTGTGTGAGCTACAGAACTTGCTCGCTAAATTCTGTAAATCTCTGACCACCATGCTAAGTAGCAAGGGCCTGTGGACCTCCTTTAGTCTGCTTTTGGTTTCTGTGTAAGACTTGGCTCTAGCTGATGTCCTGTGTGTTTACTTGTTTGTCTGTACGCCCGCTGCCCCTGGAGAATGTAAGCTCCATGAAGGCAAGGACATTGTCTCTCTCGATCACTGCAGTGCCCCCTCAAAGGCGATGAGAGTTCTTTGCAAATTTCAACTATCCTCAAAACTGCACCCCAACTCCCATGCTATTGTTGCTAGTATTTTATTTGCAGATTTTCTTGAACACAAATTTAAAGGGAGACCCACTAGCGTGATGTGTTGTTCTCCAGCAACACTCAGCTGCTCAGGCACCAGCAGGGAGAAGGGGAGAGTGGCGCTTAACCAGGGCCAGAGTTTGCCAGGCCAGTTGGATAAAGGGAGAGAGGGGCAAGGCAAAGATTCTGCTGATGGATCGTGAAGTCGAAGCTAGGGAAGATATGAAGAGGGTGAAGGACAAGCCAGGCATGGACTTTAGAAATGTGTTTTAATGTCAGTCCTTACATTTTGTGTCTCGTATGCCTGAATTCTTCACTCATCAGTACTTCTTGTATCCCATTTCTTTCTTCCAGGTTCCTTTCTCTTCTTGCTGAAGCATTTCCTTTAGCATTCCCCCCAGTGAATATCTAGGGGCAAGAAACTTTCTGAGTCCTTGTCTGCCTGAAAATGTCTTTATTTCACCCTCACTCATAAACGCTAGTTTGGCCGAGGGTGGAGTTTCAGGTTCACAGTTATTCCCCCAACACTCAGTCTGGTCATCGTTCCTTTGTAGGTCATCTGGTTTTCTTCTTGTGGCTTTAGGATTTTCTTTTTTCATTCTTTCTTTTTTTTTTTTTTTTTTTGAGGAAGATTAGCCCTGAGCTAACATCTGCCACCAATCCTGCTCTTTTTGCTGAGGAAGACTGGCCCTGAGCTAACATCCGTGCCCATCTTCCTCTACTTTATATGTGGGATGCCTTCCACAGCATGGCTTGACAAGTGGTGGGTAGCTAGACGCCTGGGATCTAAACCAGCGAATCCTGGGTCACCAAAGTGGAACATGCGAACTTAACCACTGTGCCCCCAGGCCGGCCCCAGGATTTTCTTTTTTATTTTTTATGGTCTGTAGAGAATATGTTGTACGTCTGAGTTTAAGGGTTTTTTTAAAATCCTACTCAATATTTAATGAGCATTTGAAATCTGAGGACTCATGTCCTTCCTCATTTCTGGAGAATTCTTCAAATATTGACTCTACCCCATTCTCTCTTTTCTGTCTTTCTGGAAGCCTTACTGGACATACGGTAGAGTCTTTCATTATATTCTACATGTCTTTTGGTCTCTCTTTCATGTGTTCTTTCTCTTTCTGTCTTTGTAATATTTTATAGATTTCCTCTGTTCTGTATCCACTCACAGCCAGTTTTGTTTCATCTATATCCCCACCCACCCTCAGACTATTTTGAAGCCAATTCTAGATATCATATCATCTTTTTCTGTAAATATTTCAGTATTTGTCTCTAAAAGATGAGGATCCTTTTAAAAAATGCAGTTCCAGGGACCAGCCCGGTGGCACAGCAGTTAAGTTCGCATGCTCTGCTTTGGCGGCCTGGGGTTCATGGGTTTGGATCCCGGGTGCAGACCTACTCACTGCTCATCAAGCTATGCTGTGGCAGTGTCCCGCATACAAAGTAGAGGAAGATTGGCACAGATGTTAGCTCAGTGACAATCTTCCTCAAGCAAAAAGAGGAAGATTGGCAATAGATGTTAGCTCAGGGCCAGTCTTCCTCACAAAAAAAAAAAATGCAATTCCATGACCACACATAAAACATATTGACAATTCCTTAATTTCCAGCCAGTGTTCAGATATCCCTGAATGTCTCATAAATGTTTTTGTATAGTTGTCTTTCCAAATAAGGAACCAAAAAGGTCAAAACATTGCAGTTGATTAAAATGTTTGTCTCTTTTAATTTATAAGTTCCTCTTCACATTTTTAAACTTTAATTTGTTTGTTGACTACTGATGCTTCTTAGAAATCATGTTTATTGTCCTGTACCATTTCCCATGGTTTGCATTTTGCAGATTGGATCCCCACGGTGTTGTTTGACATGGCCCTCTGTCCTCCAGTATTTCCTGCAGACTGGTAGATCAGGGGACTGAGCTGTCCATAAGGCAGACTTAGTACAGAAATGGGGAATGTACATAACTTATTAATAATTTTTATATTGATTACATGTTGAAATGATAACATTTGGGTATATTATATTAAAATACATTAGAATTATCTTCACCTGTTTCTTTTTACCTTTTTAATGTGACTACTACAAAATGTAAAGTCACATCTGTGCCTCGTATTATATTTCTGGAGGATTAAAGGCTGGATCTGACTCTAGTTCAGTTTTTCCCTCTGGGGCATCATGGATTGATACCCCAATAGCAATAAGTACACTTATTGCTCAGATTTTGATTTCTATACCCAATTGCCCATAAAAGGAACCAGGGATCCTTGGGAAGATAGCCTATTCAGGACTCTGGGGCGGGGGTAGTACAAGGTGAGCCTGGGACATTTTCTTAGGACAAAATTAACAACGTGCCCCAAAACTAATGAGAACATGTCAAAAGGACACAGGAACCAACTTGAGGAGCCTCCACTGGCCAAATTTGAGACATTTTGAGCATTTTGAGCCTTGAAAAAGATAATAGTAGTAGATTAGAATGCATTGAATAAAAAAAGAATCTATGCATCTATAGAAATACTAAAAAGAAAAATTAGGGTGGATGAAGGGGAAATTCTACATTACAAAGGAATGCCAACTAATAAAAGTAAAAAGAACACTAGAATTAGAATTTCACCATTTTGCACCCAGTACATTAATAAAGGTTCCAGGCAAGGATCGTCGCTGAATGCTGGAATCAATCGGTGGAAGGTTGCTGGGGAGTAAGATTTTTACACGGTCTCAAATGATCACCCCACGGATTATTTTTTAATTACGGGGGGAAAGACACCTTCTTGATGGCCAGAGTCTGACAGGCATCACCTTAATCAAGTGATCAGTGTCAACCTCACCACCAATGGGACAAAGTGCCATCTTGTGCCTCCTGAGGTGATGCCCAAGAAGGCATGTTCTTGCCAGAGTATGAAGCCTGAATCTAATGAGGAAACAGACTAATCCAAACTGAGGACACACTAAAATAACTGACCTGGAAAGACAAAAAAAGGAAAGATAGGGAGACTGTTCCAGATTCAAAGGGACAGAAGAGATGTGAGGACTAAATACGTAGTGTGTGATCCATGATTAGATCCTGGATCCAAATGTAAAAACAGCTATAGGGGACATTACTGGGGAAATTTGGATATAGACTAATTATTGGATAAGAGTGTCCCCATCTGTTACGTTTCTTGCATTTGATTATTTTGTGGTCACTTAGGAGGGTGTCTTTGTTCTTAGGAGATGCCTGGTGAAGAGTTTAGAGGCCAAGCGGCACGATGTCTGCCACTTCCTCTCGAATGGTTTCAGAAAAAGAAATAGTATGTCTGTGTGTATCTACATGGAGAAAATTGTGGCAAAATACTAATAATAAGTGAATCTAGGCGCATAATTCATGGTTGTCTTTCTTTTGGTAATATTAGCATCTATTGATGACCATTCCTAGATCTTATTGCTTAATTAAGGTTTTGCAAAATAGGACATGCTATCATTCTTTGTTTCTTAGCTCAAATGTTTGTACCTTATGCAGGTTCAATGCTTGACTCTTACTGTTTATTTACCAGTTTGCAGAAGGAATTCTTGTTCTTACTGGTGATCAAATTTTCCCTTCTTTGGCCAGTGAGAGTCTCTTCAAGTTGGCTCTTGAGTCCTTTTAACAGGACCCCAGGAGTCTTGACTAGCTTCCTTCCTTTCTGCTCCGATGGGGTTTTCTGGCTCATCTTGTCGTTTTCCTACCCCGGATCAGCAATAAGTCATTGCTCTCAGGAGCCCTGGCTCCTTTAGCAGTAAATTAAACGTCCCTATTTTCAGTCCCTTTCAGGTTGCTGTTTTCCGTCTCGTTTCACAGACAGAAGTACTCCTGTGTATTGGCCATTTACACCGTCTTTCATGGTGTGGGACTTGTTCATATGATTCATAATTTGTACCTGTGAGCTCCTCTTCCCCAGGAGTTTTATTCCCCAGGTGCCTTGAATTGTTCCCCCACCACCGCCCCCCCAAGTGGGGCACAGAGGCACAGGTGTTGCCTCTTTCTGGATCCCACAGGCTTCTCATGTCCCAAACCAGTTTTTTTATTAGGGACCAGTTAACGGGAAGGAGGCGATTAAAGGGACAACATGGTTTCTATCCCATGTACTTCTGTATTGTTTGAATCTTTTACAATGAGAATGTATTTCCGTGTTAATTGTAGACTTATAAAAGGGCAAGACAGCTCCACCTATGGATTGGAGAGGAGGAATGGGAGGAGGCTGTTTCCTTGCCTAGAGCAGGAATGATCTTTTTGTCTTCGTTTGCTTTTCCAGGATCTGTACCCAGCTCTGAAAGGAGTAAGCACAGTTTTCCACTGTGCATCACCCTCACCATCCAGTAACGACAAGGAGCTCTTTTATAGAGTGAATCACATTGGCACCAAGAATGTCATTGAAACTTGTAAAGAGGCTGGGGTTCAGGTAAGGGGAAAGCTGGAGTGAGTGCTGTCAGGAACATGTGATGGCCCTTTCTAAGTGTATGGGGGCCAGGGTTCTTGCTCTCTTCCTGGGCCTAGCCAGGCTTGCTTCCTAAAGTATTACAACGATCCTATAAATTAAGCCCTAGGAGCTGCTGGGCCAGTTTGAGATGTAATATTCCAACTGCATCTGAATAGACCATCTGAGGACCCTAAGGCTTAGTATTACTCTTTACTCAAAGAGCTACAAAATGTAAAATATTGCTTAAATTTTTAATTGTGGTAAAATATATAGACAACATCAAATTTACCTTTTTAACCATTTTTAAGATTACAGTTCAGGGGCATCAAGTGCATTCACATTGCTGTGCAGCCATCCCCACCATCCATCCCCAGAACCTTCCATCTTCCCAAGCTGAAACTCTGTCCCCATGAACCACTACCTACTGTCACCCGCGTCCTCCTTTCTGTCTCTATGAATCTGACTTCTCTAGGGACCTCATACAGATGGAATCATACAGCAGCTGTCCTTTTGTGTCTGGCTTATTTCACATAGCATGATGTCCCCAAGGTCCATCCAGGTTGTAGCACAGGTCAGAATGTCCTTCCTTTTAAGGCGGAACAACATTCCATTGTGTGGATGGACCACGTTTTGTTCATCCGTTCACCTGTCGATGGGCACTTGGGTTGCTTCCGCCTTTTGGCGACTGTGAATCATGCCCCTGTGAACATGAGGGTGCAAATATCTGTTCCAGTCTCTGCTTTTAATTCTTTTGGGTAAATACCCAGAAGTGGAATTCCTGGATCACATGGTAATTCTGTTTAGCCTTTTAAGGAACCGCCATGCTATTTTCCTGACCTTGCTTATATTTTCAAAGAAAAACAAACTGTATTTACTTTTAGCCAATAGAAACCTGTTATAACTCAGACCCGAGGGGATCCGAATTTCCACAATGTCATAAATTGCTGTGTTGTTATAAATCCTGGTTCTCAGGATCACCTTTATGGGGCACCAGCCACTGGACAAAACAGCTCCCTGTCAGCCAGGCACCCCGCCCTCACAGTGATGCATGCAAAGTGAGCCAGGGGCTTTAGGTCCCAGCAGTCCCTGGTGCCGTCAGCCCGCCCCAGCATCATCAGCCAGCCCAGCAAGAACAGGCCAGGAAAGAGCTTTTCTGGGCTCCGTGCCCTGGAAAAGATCAGTTATCCTGGTAAGGACCCCTTATACTTTGCAAATGGCAAGACACTTTACCCTGCATTTGTCACCTGATTTGCCTCTCGTTAGGTAACCAGGAGCTGCTAATATCATTTAACAGGTGAGAAACCAGGTTTTGAAGGCTAAGTGATGTCTCTTTGCTAGTAAGTGAAAGAGGTGGGATTCGAATCAGACCCTCTGGTGCCAAATGCCAGACTCCCTACTCTCTACTGTGCTTGTATAAATGGAGCTGGTGAATTACACTGCTGCTGTTTTTTTAAATGGAATATCTCAGGCATCCAGAAAAGATTCAAGAATAATCTAGTCTCAGTACTCTCATCACAGCATTTACAGAACAGTATCACTGGTAGAGTTGAAGCCCCATGTGCACCCATCCTTGCTGCCGTTGCTGCCCGTCCCCACCCACAAGGACCACTCTTCTGAATGTGGGTTTATTTCTATTTGCCCCATGTGCAGCCAGTATAAGGTCTTGGGATGCATATTATAAAATTGTATAAAAATGATATCATATTGAATGTATCTTCCTGCAACTTGCTTTTGTCCCCAGCATTATGTTTTTGAGATTTATCCATCTTGATATATGTAGCTCCACTACATTCATGGAAGTGGCAGGATAGCTTAGTGGGTGACAGTGCTGGAAATCATTTTGTGTGTTGTATTTAGGGAACATTTCCCAACACTGAGATCAAGATTGTTTAATGTGGTTTTTTTTTTCCTCAAAGGTTTAAAATTTTACTTCCCACATTTAAATCTTTAATCCACCAGGAATTTGTGTTTGCATATAGTCTGGGGTAGAGATTGAATCTTTTGTTGTTCAGCACCATTTACTGTGTGATTCGTTCTTTCCCCACTGTTCAGCACCCCAGCCAGCAGGTCTCAGGTGCTGGTGCCTTGCATGCGTCTATTCCTGGCTCTCTTTCCCTCTCTGCTGGTCTCTGTCTGTGCCCGTGCCACTGTGCTGTGCCACTAAGTAAGCCTCAGGATGACTCTCAGTATGTGGTAGGACAAGTCACTCCCCAGCCATGTTCTTCAGAATTCGAATGCCTGGCTAATCTTAGCCCTTTGCTCATCCATCAACATTTTAGAATCAGCTATCAAGTTCCTTGATAAAGCCTGTTGGCATTGTTATTGTAATTGCATCAAACTTAAAGGTAATTTGGGAGAAAATTGACATCTTTCTGATATTGAGTCTTCCCACCCATAAATATGTAATATTTCTATCTCTCTTTAATGCTTTTCAATAGAGTTTTATACTTTATCTCATAAAGGTTTTACACATCTTTTGTTAAATTTTTTCCTATATACCTCATTTTTGGTTATTGAAATACTATCTTTCCTATTACATTTTCAATTGCTAATGCAGATGAACAGTTAATTTTTGTATATTAATTAATTAATTTTTGTATATTGATTCTGTACTTCGCAACTTTGCTAAACTCTAATATTTTCTGTATGTTCATGGTGTTTTCTATGTAGACGTTTCCAACATCTATGAATGGTGGTAGTTTGGTTTCTTCTTTCCAAATCATTATGCCTTGTTGTTTGTCTTATCCTACCACCGTGGCTAGGACTTCCAGTACAATGTTGCATGCAAGTTTATGATTGGACTTCCGGTCCAATCATAAAGATATGATTGGAGCTACTGATGTTCAGTGTTGGATGAGCTGCCCTTAACCAGAGGGCTGCAAGCTGGGGAGCATCTTCCTTTCAAGTAGCATTTCTCCAGTGGGTGTGTGCATGCATACATGTGCTGACATGCCAGGGTTTGTATCAGAATCACCAGGGGTCTTTTTCAGACAGACTCCCTCGCTCGAAGTTTGTGGGCTCTCCTTCCCACATGGAGAGTCACTCCCATAGTGAGGTAATCATGGAGGATGGAAGTCTGTCCTATCCCTCAGCTGTGTGGAAGAGAAAAAAAATGTGAAATCCACTGTTTTAGAATGCAATACCATAGTGTGTCTCAAATCCATGTAGCTGCAAAACATAGTGGTCTTTCGATTATTCTAGAAAGGCCTGAAAAGTGAAGGCATTGCAATAAATAACTTGTGTGATGCCTTGCATATGAGGGTCATGAACAGGTGCTGTTTGATTTTCTTTCTTAGGTGGCCATCAGAGTGTTTAAATAGTGATGATTCCTGACTCGTTTTTTTTTTTAATCTTCCTTTCTCCTCTGCCAGAAACTCATTTTAACCAGCAGTGCCAGTGTCATCTTTGAGGGCGTCGACATCAAGAATGGAACCGAAGACCTCCCTTATGCCGTGAACCCCATTGACTACTACACGGAGACGAAGATCTTACAGGAGAGAGTGCGTACCTGATAATTGGTGGAGTGAGTGACAAGCGAGTTCTGTGAACATCTGAAGGGTTTAGAGTCTTAAGAACATATGAAGTTAGTATTCTGAGGCCTAGGTAGCTAACTTGGGAAGTAAAATTTGTGGATGAAATTCAATTTTAAAAATAATAAAAAAATAGCTTAATGTACCTTCCTGAGGTTGTGCAGCTAGTAGGTGGCTAAACCCGGGCAGTTTAGCTCCAGGGCCTGCGCTCAACCTCTGCACCATACAAGCTTACTCAGGTGCTATAGAAATCAGAAATCCAGGCAATTTATGATGGTCCAAAGCGTGCAGGCAGAACTTGGGCTTAACACACGAGTGTGTTTTCATTTGAAAACTCCTTCCTAGTGGCACTCTTGTCCCCCTCCCTTTTTTTTAAATTAAACAATAGAAGGATATTGCTTTGTTTTAAGGAAGAGTACTTTTCCACTTGGCAAACCGGCTTTGCCAGGGAGCACCTGGTTTTAGCAGCAGTCTGGGTTAACGGGCACCAAGCCTTCAGACTGCAGGGCTCCTGCCAGCAGCTAGCTCCAGGTCTACCATACAGAGAGAATATTATCCAGGGGACATCCTCACCTGGAGGCCATGGATGCTCATCGGCCACAGCCAGCTTGCTTTAGCTGGGTAGCTGTGAGTTTCCTGCTGTAGGTGTTTGCAGCATGTCACACCCACTGAGGTTTCCTTTTGCAGCCAGCATACATTAAACCAGAGCTTAGCACCAAATTGACCTGAATCCCCTGCACTGCCTGAGAGCCAGCTACCTCCCAGGTGTTTGCTATTACTCCAGCTCAGAAGGTCCCAGAAGAGCTCGTCTGCAGGGAGACATGAGGGCCTCCCAGTCCAGGGGGTGGAGGCCTGGCCTTTGCAAGCGCCAATCCTCTCTCTGCCATTCTGCTCCTTGGAGTGCAGAGAGCCTCACAGAGCTGCCACCATCTTAGACTTGACCCAGGGAGCACTGAAGCTTCCGCTGGGCCCTGTGCACTCTCATCCAAGGCTCCTGGGACTCGCACCCTCTGGGCTCAGGAGCTCCAAGTGGCAGCCTTGGCTCAGGCCGTCGGTGTCTTGCCTGCATTGACTTTTGAGTGCTCAACTGGAAGTAAGCAAAGCCTGTGAACGCCTCCAGCCGTGACCCTCCTGGGACCTCCTGTCAGCCGCGGTTGGTGCACATTAGCTCACTGTTGCCTTTCAGACCTGACTGATAATGAATGGAATGTGGTGTTGATCTAGGACTCTTTCAACTCTCTTCTCTTTAGTAACAGAGATGAGCCTTGTCAGAGGGCATTTGAAGGCTTATCTAGTCATTTCCTCCATTGCCATGGGGACCAGAGACCTGGCAGGAAGAGGAGGGGCAGCTCTGGGAATCTCTTGCGAGACTGCTTCTCCATTGTTGGGTTGCTCCCATCATTATAAACTCAATCAACAAGTAGCTTAAATTCAGTGGGACCAAAACATTTAAAGAATTGTGCCACCATAGAGTAGAAATCCTAGGTGAGGTGACAGAATAACTATGCTTATCAAGCGTACACTTACTGAAACAGTTGACGTGGGCCATCTCGTTTAATGGGCACACAGCCCCATCAGGGGAGGTACTGTCATGTTCCCTATTTTTGCCAATGACATAACAAATTCTTCAGAAAGTTTTGTTGCTTTTGAGGCAAAACCTGTTTCTCTGTACTTTAAGCCCATAAGTTCTGGTTCGTCCATTAAGCCACACAGAACCCATCTTTCCTCTCTTCCTGACAGTGGATAACGGGAATAGTGGCTGCCCCTTCTTGAGCACTTACTAGCTACTAGGCGCTGCTCTGAGGACTTCCCCTGTATTGGCTCATCTCTTTAGCTCCCCAGTCTCTGCCCTGCTTCTCCCAGACCCTTCACCTTCTCAGTCCCTTCTTCCTAGCCCACTTGGATCCATCAGAATCCCTTCGTAGGAGGTGGTACTCAGAACTGACCTGAACACCCCAGGAATGGTGGAAAAGCACACTCGACACATGGAGCTTTAATGAGGAGCCCCTTTGCTGGCGGCAGCCTCACTGGAAGCTCACAGCTAACTCATTAGCCGGAACCCGCAGATCTTTTCCACAGACTGCTGCCAAGGCTCACGTTCCCCTGGCTGCTCTTGTGCATTTTAGTCTTTGAACCCAGACCCAGGCTTTTCTGTTTGATTGTGCTGGTTTGACCCAGCTGTCTCTCCTGCGTTTGCACATGTTGAGGTTAGTGCTGGGGAATGGCATAGAGAAGTAGCCCAGAATCATACTGGTCACCGATGGTCTTCAGCCCAAGGCAGCAGGCGACGTCCATGTCCCCTGTGAGAGGTGCTGCTCCCCGGGTGCTGCGCCGTCTGCAGTGGACACACTCCTTCTCTCCTACAGGCCGTCCTGGGCGCCAATGATCCAGAGAGGAATTTCTTAACCACAGCCATCCGCCCTCATGGCATTTTCGGCCCAAGGGACCCCCAGCTGGTCCCCATCCTCATCGAAGCAGCCCAGAAGGGCAAGATGAAGTTTGTGATTGGGTAGGTCGGTTGCTCTTCTCCGTGCCTCCCTGAACCTGCTGCAGCAGGCATCAGTCACGTTCAGAGAGCACTTTGTCCGTGCTTTTCTTATGTGGGCTTCTTCACTGCCCTCTATAGTCCACAAACTGGGGGGCTGAAAACAACGGAAATGGATTCTCTTCTAGTGCTGGAGGCCAGAAGTCCAAGATCAAGGTATGGGCAAGGTTGGTTCCTTCTGGAGACTCTGAGGGAACAGCTGTCCCAGGCCAGGGTTGGCTCCTTCTGGAGACTCTGAGGGAACAGCTGTCCCAGGCCTTTCTCCTGGCTCAGGTGGTGGCTGCAGTCCTTGGCGTTCCTTGGCTTGTAGATTCATCACTCCATCTCTGTCTCCATCTTCACATGGCCTTCTCCCTATTTGTCTGTGTCCAAATTTCCCTCTTCTTATAAGGACACCACCCATTGGATTTAGGACTAACCCTACTCCAGTACAACCTCATCTTAACTTGATTACATGTGTAAAGACCCTATTTCCAAATAAGGTCATATTCACAGGTTCCAGGGGCCATGAATTTTGGGAGGACCTTAATCAACCCAGTACACCCTCTTAGGTAGGCTGGGAAAATATTTGTGTCCCTGCTTGGAAATTGAGGAAACAGGCTCAGAGGCGAAAGACTGGCCCAGGTCAAGGGCCAGGCCCTCGACTTTCCTTGCATCTAGGAAGGCAGGTGGAGGTACTAATAACAATCCTCGAGGAAAGTGCAGGTGGAGGTACCTCTGCAGGTGGTGACAGAGTGTAGCCATCTCCCCAGTACGCCTTCTCTTCCTTCCTTCCTTTTCTCCCTGTGTTTCCCCCGCTTATCTTTGTACCTTGCCGCCTGGCCTCCTTGCCTCTTGCTTGGCCTCCTTGCTGCTCTGCCTTATTGCTCTGAGGGATTAGAAAGAGATGATAGGAAAGTGTGAGGCCAGAGCAAGGCATGAACTCAAGGGTATCCTGGAAGGAGCTGAAGAGCTGCTACCCAGATTAGAGCCCAGAGCAGACAGCACCAGTGTTGGCCACGCTGGGGTAGGGCAGGCAGGGCACCAGGCTTTCAGATTCATTGGTTGGCTCTTACCTATCCCACTGCCCCTGAGGGCCCCAGGAACCCTGGCCCCCTGTACATCTTTAACTGTCACAGATGTCCAGGTGCGCCAGGGACTGGCGTTGCCAAGGCAGATAGCAGCCATTCTCCAGGTAGCAGCCTATTGAATGCTGAGACTAGGGAGCAGCCCTGGTTCCATGTATTGGGGTCCCACTGGGCATGCAGCTGAGTGCTCCCAGCATGATGGAACCATTCCCTGTACGCCCGCAGAAACGGCAAGAACTTGGTGGACTTCACCTTCGTGGAGAACGTGGTCCACGGACACATCCTGGCTGCAGAGCACCTCTCCCAAGACACGACCTTGGGTGGGAAGGTAAGGTGCCTGCCTCTCCCAGCTCACCGGTGGCTGGCTTGCCACATCCTACCCCTGCACTTTTGCCCGTCTGGATTTCTTCTCCCTGTGATTGGATTCACTGGCAAATTGTCTCCATGGTCCTGCATCCTGGCAGACCTGCTTTAGTGTCCCAGTGGGCCAATGTTGAGCCTCTCTGGTAGGGAGTGTGGTGTCATCACAGCACCACATCGCTTGGGGCATCCTGACTCCGGAGCCGATGAGCTGGGGTTGAATAGAGATTCAGGACCCGGTTCTCCATGTCACGTGACCTGGCTACCCACTGTGGCCGTGGCTACTCCTGGCAGGGTCCCATGTATGTTGGCCGGGGTGCCTGCTACTCACCTGTTCTCCCAGTCATTCCAGAAGTCTCCATTTTCTCCCTCATCACCTACCCATGCTCACACCTCTCACCACCCAGAGGGATGGATGTATCTGAATCTCCTGGTGTTTGGCACCTGGTGGGCTGAGTGGGCATGTGGGAGGTGGTCAGCTTTGATGCAGAGAAAAGAGAGCACCCTCGGGCTCCCTTGCCCTTTCCTTCTGCTCCTAGGGCCCCCGTTTTCCCTGCTTCTCACTCCTACCTTTGGAATCCCCCAATTTGGGCCTCATTTTTTTCTCTTGGACCCCTGCCATTTTCCCACTCCTGTAACTCTTAGGGTGGTGGGGGGAGGGTGGGTATGTCACAGCACATTTGAGAAATGTAATATGACCTGTTTGTTGCATCTGAGGATAAGAAGATAAGTTTTACCATGATTAACACAATTATTAAGTTAAATTAACAAACATGCCTTCCCAAGTGCAGTCTAACCTTCACTGAGAATCCTGGCCCATAGATGAAACTGTCCTCACCTTCCCTCTCTAGACCTTAAAGCTGCCCATAGCTGCACATCGAAAAAGTGGCTCTAGGGGCCGGCCCGGTGATGTAGTGGTTAAGTCCACATGCTCTGCTTCAGTGGCCCCGGGTTTGCAGTTTCGGATCCCAGGTGCAGACCTATACACTGCTCATCAAGCCATGCTGAGGCAGCGTCCCACATGCAAAATAGAGAAAGATGGGCACAGATGTTAGCTTAGCAACAATCTTCCTCACAAAAAAAAAAAAAAGGTGGCTCTGCCGCCAGCTGACATTGATGGATTTGAGGACCATGTGAAATGCTGCACTCTACCTAGGCTTACTATCCACCTCACTTTGGAGCAGCCCTGCACAGCAACTGGGGTGGGCAGGCAGGGAGTGGCCACTGGTGTCCCAAAATACTGGTCCTGGGCTGAGCCAGCAGCTTGCGGCTGAGCTCTGTATTCCAAGCACAGCCTGCTCACCCCTCCAGCTGGGGAGCAGTTTCTAACTTCTTGTTCTCTCTCCAGGCATTTCACATCACCAATGATGAACCCATCCCTTTCTGGACGTTCCTGTCCCGCATCCTGACAGGCCTCAATTACGAGGCCCCCAAGTACCACATCCCCTACTGGGTGGCCTACTACCTGGCCGTCCTGCTGTCCCTCTTGGTGACAGTAATCAGTCCTCTCATCCAGCTCCAGCCCACTTTCACACCGATGCGGGTCGCACTGGCCGGCACATTCCACTACTACAGCTGCGAGAGAGCCAAAAAGCTCATGGGCTACCGGCCCCTGGTCACCATGGATGAGGCTGTGGAAAGGACTGTGCAGAGTTTTCACCACCTGCGGAAGGTCGAGTGAGGCACCTGGAGACTGGGCCCTCTCAATGCATTCCCCCGCTGCTAACTCTCTCCCCTGTGGGCCAATAAACTAACCCCCAAATGAGTTTTTTTGAGCTTAGGTCTCCTGCCAGTTAGATGAGAACACACCCAACCCTTCCGTGACCGCAAGTGTGACAAAAACAGTAGACATTTCTTCCTTCAGAGGACTGGATTTGGATTTCTTAAAGCACGAAGTTTCACAGGCTACTGTTTTGCATTCTCTCTCCCTCTCCATCCTCCCCCCCATGCACTCCCCTCTCTCCTAGGTTCCTTATCATTCCCGTGTCCTTGTACATAATCAAGGAAGCTATAGGGAAGACACAACCCATTTGCTAATTGAGGATGGGGAACTAGATTTATTTCCATGGGAACCATCACAACTAGCCTTGAAGAAAAGTAGAAGTTATAAACACATGGTGAGACTTCAAATGTACATTTCAAATAGAGTTTAGAGCAAAAACTCAAAAAGCTTAAATAGCTGTAGCCCTCCCTGCGGAGTCCCCAGGGGGAAAGGACTGCACCTCCTTACATGCTTGCAAGTTCTCTGTCAGGTACAGCTGCGTACTTCCCTGCATTGTTTGTTCATAAAACATTGTTTCATGGACACATTTCTCTTTATCAACGGAGTCCCGTTGTCCTTTTTTGTGGTAAGGTGGTGGTCTGCCCCAGTGGCATGCTATTTCAGCTCTTTAGTTCCTCCTAACACGGGATGTCGCACTGGTTCACAGTAAGCCATTGAAAAGGTCAGGGAGAAGAGAGCCTCTATCTGCTTGGAGTTGGGGTAGAAACTCCCCGAGATGGGCTACCTCCCTGTAGCTCCTGCTCATAGACCCTTCAGGCCAATTTCTGAAAGGCATAGCACATATAATGATTCAGCGATCTGCCTCTTCTGGTGATGTTCTTTCTACAGAACCTGATTTCTTCTCACACGAATTGAAATGTAATTGTAAAGACTTCTGTTTTCTCCTCTGCCTTTGTCCAAGGGTGGGGAGGCTGCTGGGGAGACTGGAATAAAGTGAAGATATTGTGCGTGCAGCATCACCCCCACCAGAGGAGACAGCGCTAAGCTGATGGGGCAGAGGGCACAAACAAATAAAACACGGTCTTTGCCCCCGAGGCACTTAGAATAGGGCAGTTAAGATAGTTCAAAAGCCCCTATAATACCAGGCAGGAAATGATACACCACTGGAGACAAGGTGGTATAAGTTCAGAGGAAGGAGACATGGCTTCCAGCCAAGACTGTCAGAAAGGCCTCCCTGGAGCAGGTGATAGCACTGAGTTGGACCTCGAAGGATGGATAGTAGGGGCAGACCCCTAGGTGGCATTTCAGGCTAAAAGGTCAGGTTCACAGTCAGTGGCTTGTCATAGTTTCATTAGCAGTGTATTGTCTTCTCAGACTCAGTGAAGGACAGAGGTGACCAGCCTGGCTTGGGGTGGGGGGGCATGCAGCAGTGGGAGGTCAGTTGGCCTGAAGAGGTAGGCAGGTCAAGATGCCCCCTGGATGCCAAGCCAAGGGGGCTGAACTTTATCCTGTAGGCATGGGAAACCATTGACCGTTTAAGCAATGGAGGGCAAAAATCAAGAAACATCCTGGCCACCCTACGTAGAACCTGAGAGCAGATACGAAGTAACCAGAGTCCAAGCAATGAGGCAGCCACGGCAATAGAAATTAAGTCTTAAGTGGAAGCGCCTGGACAGGAGTCAGTTCTCGTTTCCTGTGAGGGGTGAGAGAGGGAGGAGGCCGGCGTGGAGGGGAAGTTTTCAGAGCTGCTGGGAGGAGGGTCTCAGGCCTGGAAAAGGGAGGCTGGCAGACGTTGCTGAGGAGCACCAAGGACTAATGCCCTGGGCTTCGGCCTCCCAGCTTTCCTGGGAAAATGCTAACAGCTGCCTCAACAAAAGATGTCTCTTGTGTAACTCCAGCCTGTCCAATTCCTTCCTAGCTTCTACTTTCTCAGGGAATGTCTTCTCTGCTCACCCATTTTGTTCAGCTGTTCATTTTACACATTTGTTGGGCACGGCCTGGAGCTGACATTTCTAGTAGGGCCATGCAAATCAGTACATGATTGGAAACGGACAAGTTCCAGAAAGGAAAAGTGTGGGATGCTATGGGAGGGAGAGCAGGCTGTGAGTGAACCTGGCCCAGGTGGAAAGGGGGCACAACAGCCACAGAAGGTTTACAAAGGAAGCAGTGTCAGCTCACGTCAGAAAGGTGAAAGTTAATTAGGTGGCTTGGGGAGCTCTCTAGACAGACCTTGAGCCCCAGGGGGCAAAGGGCCACCCTCCCCACCTGCCCAGCAAGGGCCTTTGCCACTGCTCCTTCCTCTGTCCTGCATTCCTGACCCACACCTATGGCACCCCACTGAGAACTTGTTAGAAACTATTGGCCTGCCCTCCAGACCTACTGAACTGGGACTTGACTAGGCGTGGGCCCGGCACTCTGTTCACAAGCCCCACTGATGGTTCTGAATCACTGAAGTGGCCTCCCACCAGATCACTGAGCCCAACTGGAACCTCACCTCGGCCACTGCAAGACTGAACTTGCCCTGTTCACAGGCCCAAATCCCTGGGCCACCCCGACTCGTTCCTCACAGCCTTGCAGCACACCTCCCGAAAATGCCTCCTTGAGAACCACCCCAGGCCTGCACCTCTCCCCTGTGGCACATCGGTCTGTAGAATCTGGCCGAAGAGAAGTTCTCTCCAGCTTGGGGACAGTTCAGCATGTTCACTGGGGAGAGCTCTCATTTCAGGCCCTCTTTCCTCCCCATTGGTGCTGACCTAGTTCAGCCCCTGGCCCCGTCTGCACCTGGGTCAGGTGTCCTGGGACAGCCAGGCTGATCTGTTTGCCTCCTCCGATCCAGCCTCTACGCACATCCAGGGTATCCTTCCTAAAACAGGCCTGGATCCTGCCTCTCCTCTGCCAAAAACACGTCAGTGGGTCCCAATTTTCTCCTGAACACATTCTGCAGCCAATCCATCATGGCCTGTGCCCAGCCCCTTTCCGGCTGCTTCCACTGGGCTTCACACCTGCCGTGCTCCAGCCAAACTGCTCATTCCCTGTCATCCATCCCCTCGCTCAGGTTGTTCTAGCTGCCTGCAATGTCCTCTCTCCCATGTGTCCCCAGGTCCAGAATGGCCAGCTCCCTTTCCACCAAAAAGCCTACCCTAACCCAACTGGAAATCATCTCTTTTCTCTGAGCTCCCAGCCTGTGGCTCTCAATCTTTGCCTCATTTAGCGTAATCCTTCTTGTGCTTTCTTTCACGGCCACCAGGCCAGGAGCTCTTCAAAGACAGAACCAACCAGTGTCCTCACAGCACAGAGTGGGTGCTCAAGAAAGCCAGGTAACCAACTGGCTGGCCTGGAATCCTAGAGTAACAGCAGCAAAAAAAGGAAACAGCCCAACAAGTGGGGGACAGAGCTTCCAGGCCGGGCATTTTTGTGTGGGTTTGGGAGGTTTTTGAACCCCATAAACTGGACGCAGCCTTTGGGGCATCTGTGAGTATGTCTTTTGGCAGGAGAGGGCACGTAGCTGTCATCAGCTTTCAAAGATGTCTGTGGTCCAAAATTTGAACCAGCGAGGTGGGGGCCAACAACTGTGGGGAAGCCCACTTTGGAGGGAGGAGACAGGAGAGACAAGCTGAGGGAGCAGATGCCAGAGAGGAGCTCCTAGGCCTCATCAGCATCCCCGTCTGTGGGTGTTCCTGGACCAGGAGGTACCTGTGGCCACCTGTTCCATCTGTGGAGGTCATGACTCCAAAACAGGGAAGGACTGGAACCCATGTTCCAGGCTGGCTTGGCAGACAGGACAGGAAGGGTTGAGGCCTTTGGCCACAGCCCTGCAAGCTCTGATGTGCATTTCTATCCACTGACAAGGAGCTCTAGGCTTCTTCTCTCCTTGCTGTGTGAGACAGCCCTTGCTGGTAGAAAGTTCGCCCTTCGGCTGAACTGAAATACCTCTCAATGCGACTTGCCTTGCCTTGCCTTTCCACCCAACCCCAACAAGCTAGCTTACAAGCTCCTCGCGACTCCTCAGCTGCATTCTCCTCTGTACAGCTTGCCTCGGCATATCTGGTCCTGCTGGGCCCACAGCCTCCGCTTCTCTCTTCTTTTTTTTTATATTTTTTATTTATTTGTTTGTTTATTATTTATTTATTTATTATCTATTTTCTGAGGAAGAGTCACCCTGAGCTAACATCTGTTGCCAATCTTCCTCTTTTTTGCTTGAAGAAGATTGTCCCTGAACTAACACCTGTGCCAATCTTCCACTATTTTGTATGTGGGACACCACCACGGCATAGATGCCAATAAGTGGTGTAGGTCTGCACCCGGGAACCAAGCCCACACTGCCAAAGCAGAGCATGCCAAACTTAACCACTAGGCCAGGGAGCCGGTCCTCTGCCTCCTCTTCTTTCAAACTTCACGTCCGACATTGTTTCTTCTTTGCAGCTTCCCCCCATGAAAGTCTCTCTCTTCTGGCTTCCTACAAAGCTTGGCCCACATCGCCATCAAAGCACTTCCTCAACCATATGGTAATCATCGGCTTAGCTGCCCCGTTCTCCTATGAGCTACTGCACTTCTCAAGGGCCAGGAGCTTTTGATTCATTTCTCTGTCCCTGAAGTCCTGTGCAGTGCCTGTTCCTAGGAAGGTGCCCAGTAAGTGTAACCTTATTGGAAGGGCGTTTAGAGGCAAAAGCCACCAACACCTACATTGACCAGCTGTGGGAGCCCCAGAGAGAAGAAGCCGTGGCCAAGGGCACTCCTGCAGTTAGCAGAGCCAGGGCTAGACCACAGACTCCTGATCCCCCAGGCCAGTGCACTCCATGTTCCCCATCTAGATCAGGCAGCCTAACACAGCAAAGGTACCCATGTGGGGAGGAAGGGACCCAGGCTCTGATCCAAGGCTCTCCACCATGAAGGGCTCAAAGAGCACAAATAGACAGTTAGGAATGGAGAGAAAGAAAAGAGGCATGTTGGGAGACACTAGAACCTTCCAACACCAGCATGCCTAGATGGTGTCTCCATTGATCATAGAAGATTCCAAATGATGGTGGACCTAAATTAGAGCCTTCCCTTTGTCTTACTGAGCTCCTCCTGTGTAACTGGCCTTGTGCTAGGGGCGGGGGCACTGTGGTGAACAATCTAGACAAGAGCCCTCATGAAGCTCATGGTCCAGCAAGGGAGGGAGAGGTAGTCATTAATGAAAGAATCACTGTTCATTATAACCGGGCTAGGCAGTCAGAGAGATGCTTCAGCATGAAGCAGAGAGCGCCATCCCAGTTGGTGGTACACTTGTGCCCAAAGCAGATTTCACGTCCTGTTTATGAAACTCGTATCCTTCCTTCATCTTCCCCTCCACAGTCTTCTTTGATTGTGGCCTTCTCAAGGCCAGATTTTCTTAGACTTTGGGGACCCCTCCAGCTCCTGACCCAGACAATGCTAGTCACGCTATGGATACTCTGGGTTTGTTGAGTGGTTTTGGTAGGAGGGGATTGGAGAAAAGGCTACAGATGAATGCCAGGCAAGATGGCAGAAGCAGGGTTCTGGGGAAGAGGGCAGAATGTTGGCCTTTGTTTAGCACCTCCTCAGCCAGCATATTCCCAAATAAATGGATGGACAGACA